TCACTGCTAAAGAAACTATTGGTACGCGTCATCCAAAGAGAGTATACGAGTATGTGAGCTTCTTTACAGACAAGACAGGATATAGCCTTTATGCCTTGCTCTCTCCATCTGTTTCTGTATTCCGAGAAAAATCGAGGTACTATTAATCTGTCGCATGCCATCATGGGAAGTAGCTGTGGCATTTTTTAATTCCTATCAGAAACTTTTAGCTTTTAAATTGTATATATATTTTTTTTCTTATATTTTTATATTTGATAAATTATTTTGTACGATTTTGTTTTTTAGAAAATTTTGTATAGCAAGTATTTACAAGAATTTTGATTAATATTTTGTTGGCATGTTCCAGTATTTTTAGCTTAATCTGATCTTTTAAAGACAACTAATTAATTTTTTATATGATACTTGTAGCATATTTTGATAATTACCGGGGCGCAAGAGTATCTAAAGATTGCCTCCAAGTTATCTTTCATTCATTTTGGTTTGTTTGAGTCTTGAGTTTGGCAGACAAGTCATAAATACATACATACATACATGTACTACACATATACAGTTGCGGCAGAAATAATAGCACTGTTTGGCACCACAGTCTTTATTGTTTCAAAGCCACTCAACCAACAATTTTGCCCGACTAAATCAATAGGTTACATGTCCCTCTGATAGAGGTGCACCCAACGGTCTTATTACTAAAGACCATTTCCAAAGCGAGGGGCAACAAGAGGGTACTTTCCAGCTTTGTATTTTATGATCTTAATTCAATTCAAATCGCTGCCTTAAGATGGTGGCGCCTGTGTTTTGGGCCTTAGAAGAACTTTAGGTAAGAAAAGGATCTTTTATTCCAGAGGAGACACCTATATTTAGGTAAATCCATTGTTGGTTGATCATTAAGCATTGATTCGCAATGCCTTAAACATGCAAACTTGCCGATACCGCCAGTTCCGGTCAAACTATATAGATGAAGGACCCTTATAAATCGTCCCGGGAAGAGGATACTTTTGTATAACATAATTAAGGCCAAAGGTTCGAGGAGAATCCACTTAAGGGCATGGGGTAAGTGAGTCTGCAATAGCACTGGGCTCCCTAAACATCATGTCGTCGAAGAAGTCAAGTTTGTGGAAAGGATATCAATCTTATGGGAAATGTCTCTGGAGTCTGGAGTCTGCAGTCTGGAGTTTAGACCTGTCAACGGATTGGACACATTTAACATGTTTGGCTGCAGTTGCTGTGCTAGGTGCTGGCTAACACCCATTTGATACACTTTTGCACTCCACTTTAAAGGATGGAGAAAGAGGAACTAAACACCCAAACCAAAACCAAACCAACCGTCGCGCTCTTACAATTTGCAGATGTAAATTTTCGTTTAATTAGCTCTGGAGAGCCCCCCCTCCCCACACGAGACCCTTTTTCATGAAAAACTTCACAAAAAACTGAAACTGAAGCATAGCCAAGTAAAAGCTACTTGGTGGTGCCCCTGGGTCTGGGTTTATTATGCAATAAAAATGAATACAAATGTGCGCTAATTTTTGCATGTCGTCGTCGTCCGTCGAAACCATTTTTCTTTTCTCGTACAATTTCCATTCCCCCACCTCCCTTCCTTAGTTTTTCCCCATTTTGTAGCCACTTTTGAACCACTTGGCCCGGTGGAGACGTTATGAGAGATTTGTGAGTTGCAAGTGAAGGGGGGGTCCAAGACCACTCCAAAGTTGAATCAGTTTTGTTGTTGTTGTTGCATGTGTTGTCATCTCAAGTTGCATGCCGCAGTGCAGAGCCAGTGTCAGTGTCTTAACTTGTCTTCCGAAAAGGTGTTGCTGCTGGGCCATATACAATATATACTCATTTTGATTGCATGGAATGCGCATCTCTTTCACGCATAACTCACAAAATATAGAGCAGGTTTTTATGTTTTGATTGTAAGTACCTACTCTTTGCTTGAGGATGAGTTTACTTAGTTGAGCGTTGATTTGGAGACTGAAGAGATATCTCAAGTTACCACCGTCACTTAACTATAGAAACAGGAGGGATCAGCGCACTCATTAAGACTAGGAGGACTTTACTAGAACTGATACTCAAACCAAACATATTACAACATTTTTGAATACTTCCATTTAATATTACATACTCCCTAAAGGAGACGAATCTAATCTACTAAATCTACTAAATATTATTTTGTACTAAATATTATTTGATTATAACTTTTTTGTGATTATTTCCTTGCTTCTTTCATACTGGCTAAACCCACATCACATAAGAAACAAGCGAGAGAGAAATAAATAGAGAGATATAAGTATTTCCCATATACTTCTAAGTCGAACTAAAAGTGTCCAAGAGAGAGAGAGAGAGAGAGAGAGACCACGTGAGGTTCAAAGCCTATGATCATAATAGATTGAATATTTTCAATTTAATTTTATTTAACTTTAATTGACCCTTACAGTTTACCGATCTCAAAAGAGTATATCTCTCTTCGTTGCATATCTCAACATACCCGAACATTTATTTATTTTTCATAATTTTTTTATTGCATTTAATTTTTCATTTGCTTTTACATATTGATGTTTGGCCATTTTGCAGTGAAATTTACTTTCTGTTTAATGCATTTTTTTTATTTTTTGATTTATATTTTTTATTAGTTATTAGTTTGTTGTTTGCCTAGTAGCAATCGCAGATTTGTTTGCACAACAATTTGTGCTGCGTGCGTTTTATCAGCTCGTTAAAATGATAATTCGCTTAATATTAATTAATTGTTGTGCGATAAACGAAACGATAAAAGCATTGTTCAACGCATGAATGGTCAAAATGTATGGGGAATACAATTAATTAAACTTTTTGTGGGTAAAATTTGAAAATATCAGAGTTTAAAAAGTTCAAAAGTTACGTATACGTAATTGTTACAGAGCACTTGACTTGTTCCCAACCAAAGTCGAAACACTTGAAGTGGGCTTCACTCTTGAAAGTAACTTTGAGAAGTTGTTGAGATAATTACAACAACAATATTTTGAAAATACGTTAATTTAAATGAAATATTACGAGTGTAATTTCGGATTAGTCTGTTCGGAATTTCCTTGTTAAGCTCTACATATCGTGTACTCGAGGCGAATGGTATTTGTTTGAAAGGATTGTGTGCGTTCGTTTATGGGAAATTAGCACGGCAAATCAACGGCATTGCCATTAAAAGCTCAACTTGAAAGCTCTCCCATTGAAACAATCGTTTGAAAAACCAGATAGAATATTTATGCCAATTTTTATTGTGCTTTCAATACAATTTGGATGGTTGGGCCTAGAAGGATAGCAAAGTCTCTTTATCTTTTGTTCTTCCTTTCTGTTTATAGAACCTGCACTACATTTAAACAGACTGTGCAAATAAGTACACGTAGTATGTATCTTAAGCATTTAAGAACAATTGTTGAAATCCAATTTTAACACTTGTGACGGAAATGGAAAATTCCCAAGATAGAGGGAAAACAGATTTGAGATATGAGAGAGAGAAAGAGAGAGAGAGAGAGGAAGCTCTCTCTGTGACTTTGTGTCTCTCGTTCATAAAGAAACAGGAAATCAAAATGTTGAGGCATTTGTAAAGGCAACAATAAAGCGCAGCCATGACATAATATATGCCAGTATTTGTGCCTTGGATACGTATATGAATATGCATTTATAAGATACATTCTTTTGCTGTATTCGTGCCCCCCATGAAGACGCAATTAATTGTAGGAGAATGCTCTCTGGTCGAAGGCGGGCAGATCGGTCAGTGACCAAAGCAGGTTGCAACCAAAGAAATATATATCAAAAAAATACATTTCTTAATTACAAAAATTCCCAACCAAAATAAGTGAAATCTTGACATAATTTTTGTCAACAACAAATGTTTTATTTATATTCTTGAAACGCCCCCAATTTGCACGCATTTTTTGTGCACACTTGACACAATTTTGAGTGATCTTCTTGATGCAACAGATATCTATAATATATATCCTTATATGCACATATATCTGTCTGCTTAATTAGTTTGATGGCTTTTACATTTCGAACTGTCAAATGTGCCACTGTGCCACATCACATGCAGTTTTGAAACCGAAATACTTTTGCAGCGAAAAGTTGAGAAATATGATTTTTCTAAATTATTTCTTGGTATTCTTATCTATATTATTTATTTTAATTTTTTCTGTATTATTTATTGCTATTTTTTTTATTATTATTTTGGTTTTGTTTTGGGATTTATAGGAATTCCTTTTCTGTAATCAAATTTGAGAGCACTTTGAACCTGGGCTTTGCCCCACAGAATTTCTTGAAAGAATTTATTTGTTTTTGTTGCTGGAGCTCATAAATACTTTTATTCATATACGATTGTTATCACGAATGTGTATTTCTCGGTAAATATGGAACGCCATTTCATGTCCGAGCTCCTCGAGTGCTCGCTCTCTGTTCACAGCGTTATTCTGTTCTACGTCACTCCCAGCTGTTTAAACTGCAGATCCCAAGCTCGCTGGCAATTGTTTATTAGTTTTAATACAAAATATGTGTGGTGCTGAGTGTTTGGACTATGGGATACCACCTACGCTTACCAGTTTTTATTATCTTCTATATTCTACCTGGACAACAAATGGAATTACTTCGTCCAAGATAAAATAAAGAATAAAGAAATTATTGCTGTACAGTCGCAATCCGAGCAAGCAACAGAGCAACGGGTATACCCCCTTTTCGCTCTATCCACGTACTGGGTATTCCCAAAACGTTTTTCATTGTCACTTAGCGGTATTTTATTTCCATGCCACAATATTTACACACTTCAGAGACAGCGCTAGAGTTGGCAGTTAAGTTTTAGCCGGGGGTACAATCAATCCAAAAGATTCCAACGTGGCGGCACACATAAGTCAGTGCATATACGGATATAATTGGGGATTATCTCGTTCGTAGGGTCACAGCTGTTGTTGCCTCTCGATGAACACGATCTTACTGATCTATATTAATCTCTATATAAATATTGTATAATACGAAGCCCACCCCCCCAGACACCCACCAACCACAAATCGAATGTAACAAAATGCTGCTACAATTCGCTGTGAGGTTCATTTGTTGTGAGTTGAAAAAGCTGAAAACGAATTTAACCATGTTTTTAATATTCTTCTGGATTATATGGTTCTCGCAAATAATAGCCATATCAACGGTATTTATGAGGTGGGACATACTTAAATATATATCCATAAATACACATAAAATATGTTTTTATATTCCATTAAAAAATTAAATTTCTAATTTCGTTTCTTGAATAGCTTTCCAGAGATCATAACGGAGCTACCAACTGTCACAGTTACGGAGCTGCCTCTGGATCGTATTAAGAGTCGTCTGGAATCTGTTATACTCGAGGAGATACAGTCACCGACGAGCAACAAGAGCGAGGAGCAACAGCAGCAGCAGCAGCAGCAACACGAGCAGGAGGAGCAACCGTTGCAGCCACTGTTTGAAGCTGCCAAGGAAGTGCCCCAAAAAGGTAGGGCCATACGTACACAGATTATGTAACGTATGTACATATGTACAGTGCGTTTCAAAGGTTTATAACTGAAGATTAACAGAAAATTTAAGCTCAAAGGAGCGAGAGACATGACTCAGATCTGTTTGTAACTTCCTTAAAGAGCAAATATCTTCGATAGCATTGATATGCATATGTACAGTGCGTTTCAAGCGTGTAATAATTGAAGAAAATTTAGTTTCAAAGAGCGGAATATTTGCCTATTCTCAAGAAATCTTCATCGAACTAATGGATTTCTCTATTCCTTTTAGATGAACAAATGCCGAAGATCAATGATCCCGGGGGAGGCTTCGATCTGGATGGATTGGTCGCATCAGCAGAGGCTTTGGGCGCTGCAGGAGACGATGGCACTGGGAATGTGACCAGCGAAGAGCAGCAGACTGGAGGAGCAGGAGCAGCAGCAGGAGAGGGGACAACAAACGACACCTTGAACCCAAAGGCGAATCTCACTAAAAGCAATGAGGAGGTGCCCATGCCCGTGTTCTCCGAGTGGGCGCAAAAGCAGATGGAGGCCGAGGCTAGTCGCGAGCAGGCCATGGAACTGGAACAGCAGGTGGCCAATAATTCAGCGCAGCGCAGGAACAACACCGGATCTGCGAGTGGCAAACCAGCGCCACTGAAGCTGCGCTCCAAGAACTATGCCTCGCCCGACTGCGGTGCGAAGATCATTGCCTCGAATGGAGATGCCACCAATACGGGCGCCGTGCTGACGCAGTCCAGCGATGAGTACATGCTGAGCACGTGCGGCAGTCGCCTTTGGTTCGTGGTGGAGCTGTGCGAGGCCATCCAAGCCCAGAAGGTGGAACTGGCCAACTTCGAGCTGTTCAGTTCGTCGCCCAAGAACTTTACGGTGGCCGTTTCGAAGCGATTTCCCACCCGCGACTGGAGCAATGTGGGTCGCTTTGCGGCCGAGGATAAGCGTACGGTGCAGACGTTCGAGCTGCATCCGCATTTGTTTGGGAAATTCGTACGCGTGGACATTCATTCGCACTACTCCAAGGAGCATTTCTGTCCCGTTTCGCTGTTCCGCGTGTTCGGCACCTCCGAGTTTGAGGCCTTCGAGACGGAGATACGTCCCAGCGACGAGCTGGATGATTTCGATGATGATTTCGGTGGCGGTGGCCAAGAGCAGGGCGGCAGCAGCAGCCACAAGGCCAACGCTGGCGGCGGTGGTGGTGGCATCTTTCAAAGCGCCTCCGATGCGGTCATACAGATGGTAAAGAAGGCCGCCGAAGTGCTGGTAAAGCCCACAAAAGCACTCAAATGGTCAGCCGAGTCGCTGCTCTGCAAGACGCCCGCCTTTGGGACCTTCAGCTGCGCCAGCTGCAACAGTACGCTGGTGCAGCGGATCAACAGTCTGCTGTCGTGTCAGTTTCAGCAGTTGCAACTGCTGCTCAATCACAGCCAGCTGAGGTCGGATCTGCTGCAGAGTGGCGTGTGCCAGGAGGAGTACGCCATCAGTCTGTGGGGCAGCGAAAAGTCGTGTGGCCTGGCCAAGCGTCAGAGCTACTTTCTGAGCATGCTGCCAGCCGAGCATGTGGGTGCCATGTGCAAGCTGCTGCAAGCAGAGCAGAACAACACAGTGGAGCAGCAGCAGCAGATTGAGGCGACACCAGAACTGAAGCCGCCGCCAGAACAAGCGCAGGAGAATGCCACAGCGGCGTCAGAGACCAGCAGCGGCCAGCAGGAGTTGATTGTAGAGGAAGCCATGAAGTCCCAACCAAGCCTGGAAATTGTAACGCCCGAGAGTGTGGCCGCCAGCCTAGAGATGCCCTCATCATTGATCGGTGATCAATCCGAACCCTCAGCGACGACAACAGCCGCCACAACGAATTCCACACCCGCAGATGTGAATATATTCAATGTCCCAGCCGAGACGGAGGAACTGGAGTTGCCTGTGGTGCCCAACCAGCCAACTGTCTCCACCGCTCCTGTTACACCCACTTTGGTGGAGTCGCCCAGCGATGTGGAAGCCACAACAATGCCACCCAGCTCCAGCGAAGTGCCGCACAACGCCGAACTAGCCATCGAGGAGAGCAATCCCGCCAACTGGGAGAGTCTGGACAATCTGCTGACCACCACAGTGGCCTCCATAACAGCAGGAGGTAGTGCGGCCGCTGCCGCTGCAGCAGCAGCCGTGGCGGGTAATGGAAATGGTAACCATTTGGGCGTTGGCGCAGGCGGCGCTGGAGCAGGAGGCATAGGATCCAATGTGAATCTGCAGCAGAAGCTCACGAATGGCGGGCAGTCGGAGAGTGTGTTCATACGCCTCTCCAATCGCATCAAGGTGAGTGCAAAGAACTCCAACGAGAACTCCATTCTGCAGCCAGTTCTTGTGCCAAGTGCGTCATCAGTTGGCGTGGCAGCTCCAACAAACGTGGAAACAAACAACCCACCCACCCACGCGCAGACAGGCCATGGCAGACCATGGAAGACCATGGAAGGGCCTTGGCTGAGAACGAAAACAAAGCGAATGGATACCCTTCTATGGGGTTACGTCTGTTATTACGGAATCCGGTGTATAGGAGACGATTTCTAGGTAGAGGGAAAAGCATAGGAAGGTCTTAGATTGGGCGGAAAGTGCGGATAGGTCTAGACTCTAGAGGGAATGGCAAAATCAATCTGCCAATCTATTTCGATTAATCGTCGTCCAGACGTTACCTAGAGAGATTCTTCATTCATTTAGATTAAAAAAAACAAAATACATGTCGTGTGCATAACGAAAAAAATTGCTCGACTCGCCTCTAGTCTCGCCGATAGGGTTGCTTTTTCTATCCTCCCCACTTCTGCTTCCTCCCCCGCCCCTGGGAAAAACAGAGTATCCCTTATTCCACTTCCTGTTGACCCAATCAGTTTCTGACTTGTTTATGGCCCCAACTTGCGTGTTGGCTGCTCATTACAAGTGGCAGTCACTTCCCGTTCAGGGCTCCGCCCATGGGCCAAATGTGTACAACATTTTCGCAGAAAGTTCGGGGGCACCGCTACCTTGCCGACGGACGTCATCAGAGGCAGCCATTCCGAATCCAAAGCCACGATAAAAACCATGCTCATGTTTCTGTCTTCCACAGGCGCTCGAAAGGAACATGTCGCTGTCCGGGCAGTATCTGGAGGAGCTGTCGCGCCGCTACAAGAAGCAGGTGGAGGAGCTGCAGCAGACGCTTACGCAACAGACGCTGACGGTGCGCTCGCTGGAGGACCAGAGCAGGCGGTACATCGAGCAGGAGCAGCTCTACCAACAGCATAGCGCCGAGCTGGCCGGCGAAGTGCGTGCCCTGAGCTACCAGGTGCAGGCCTGCATACTGGTCATCATCATTGTGGGCAGCTTTATCGTTCTGATGCTCGTCCTGGGCACTGTCTACTACCGCAAGCTGCGCCGCCAGACACAACAGCTCAAGGAGGGTAACCCCTCCGGCCATGCCAAGGCGGCCAAACCGAAGCTGGATCGCCGCAAGTCCTACGAACAGATGCTCAATCCGCAGTGCACGCCCAAGCAGCGCCGGCCCAGCGAGGAGGCGATGCTCATACTGAAGGACTGCGGCGACAGTCAGCTGGTGGGTGCCAGTCAGGATCTGGCCAGCAGGCAGCGAAAGATATCGGTGTGCTATGGCAGCAACAACAACATTGCTGCGAATATGATGACTGCGAATCCCAATCTACGAGCCTCGCTGCACCGCCGCAAGGGAGCCAAACATTCGTGGCACAACAGCATGGACACGGCGGAGACGACATCCTGTGCCGCCGAGCAGCTGGACACGTTCTTCGATGCGGGTAAGCGCAAAGAATCTTCCCCTAGTGCCAGTCAGTATTTCTAATCGATACCGAATCTCTTGCAGATACCCTAAAGAGCTTGAAGCAGCAGCCATCGTCGTCGGGTAGCAAGGCCGGCAAAAGGAAATCCCTGCAGCAGCAGTTGGCCCTCAAGCGGCAGGAGTCGGCGCCGGCCAGCATGATGCAGAATGAGCTGGCCGAGGAGGAGCCGGCATCGCAGAGCGATTTCGATGAGAGTCTAATGCTGGACGATGATGATTTGGTCAACTTTATACCCACCAGCGATCTGGCCTACAACGAGTTCATGCCAGAGGGTCCCTCCGGATATCTTGTGCTGGATGCGGTCGATGGCAAGTCGAACAGAGCCGAGCAGCCGCCGCTACAGAAGCAGGCGACAAAGAAGTCGCGGCGCCTATCCTCGCCGGCCTTCTTCAAGTCGCCGTTCAGCAAGAACAAGAACAAGGGCGGCAGTTTCAATGGCTTTGGCGGCATCAAGAACAGCCATTCGGTGCACGAGTCCACCTCCTGGGAGTGGTATCGCCTGAAGCGCAGCGAGAAGCAGCAGCAGCCGCATCACCATTCAAAGCAGACCAAAAGCCTGCCAAATTCCAGCCTGGACAGCTCCTCCCTGTCCGAGGTGAACTTTCCACTGAATTCGAGCTCCAACTCCACACAAAACTCATTTCGTATACTCGGCGAGGCCATACGATCCTCGGGGGAGAGCAGCAGCATTACGCCCAATGGGAATGGCAATACGGGCGCCAGCGGTAGCAGCAGCAGTGGCAGTGGCAGCAACAGCGGCGGCAGCACCACCTCCTCCACCACAAAGAAGAAACAGCGCGCTTTCAATAACATATTTCGCAAAGTTTTTTGAGTTTCGTTTTCTTACATATATTTTAAAGCCCAGTGTTTTTAGAAGCCCTTTCAATTGTGTTCACCATGCAAAGAAGCCGCCAACAAGTTAATAAATTAATTGTTATATATATTTTTTTTTTTCGAAAGAAACGTGCCCCAATTTTAGTTCCTTTTTTGTGTTGAAATTAAAAAAAAAAATGCAAATTACTGTAAAGAGAAACAACACAACAAATTTAGTACTTATTATTATTTTGTAATGCTTGCTAGCAAACGAACTTTGCGCATTTGCTGCTAGAAAACCCGAAACCTAAACCTAAACCGAATGAAGGCAATTTGTCTATATGCGAAAAATCGTTTAACTGAAATAATTTAATTACAAAACATTAGTTGATAATTGTATGATGATATATACTATATGTATGTGTATTCCAAGCCTCGTTATTCTTGCTATCCGAAATCCTGTACTTTAAGTTGATGAAAGCGAAAAACAATTTGTTGCACGTTTTGTTTGCCACACTTAGCTCTTTGTTATTATTAGCAATTCTACAATACAATTAGTTAATAGTTTAGTTTTTTATTTATAACTAAAATACAATTAACATTTATTTAAAAAACCGAATGCACTTCCATTCTCTACTAAATCTTCAATTCGCTGAGAAAATCGACTACTTCGAGCGCATCGTCGTTGGCTAGCTTGTGTTCTTTGATGGCCGTGTTTAGGCCACGGCCCGCAGTGCCCATGACCTTTTGCCAGTGCTCCACAGTTTTGTACTTTTCATCGTTGGCACAGTACACCACCTCGTTGATGTCCTCCTCCAGTTTATAGCTGCAGACAGCCGGAAAAACCTTTTGCAAATTGGCCATTGCCTCCGTTTTGAGCGTCTCATCGCGACACACCAGATTGAGCATGAACAGACCCTTGGGTCCAATGATTTCCTTGATATGCAGTAGTATATCGTGGGCTAGAAAGCCTTGCGGCGGACAGCTCATGCCCAGGCTGAGATCTTTGCTGTCCACGTCGAATAACACGGCATCAAAGTGTATGTCTGTAAAGACAATAATCCAATTAGAGAGCAACTGGAGAAAGGGATTAAAACTGGTAGCTGCTACCTTCATTACGACAGCGTTCCACAAAGGCCAGACCATCGTCAATGACCACATGAAAGCGTTTGTCCTGCTTCAGTTCGAAATATTGCTCAGCCACCTCGAGCATAATGGGGTCTATCTCCACAGCCGTAATACGTGACTGACTGCAAAGAAATATCATTAACTGAATATTCCGAATGTAGATTGTGTAATCCTACGGTAGAGCGGCATGTAGGAAGCTGCACAGTCCACCACCGCCGAGACCAATAACTAGAACATCCTTTTGCACATCCTTCTTGGTATTCTGCAGCGTTACGGCCAGTTGGACGCCCACAGACATGTACAAATGATGCTGGCAGGCCAAATGACCAAAGTCAATCTTCTTTCGCTCCTTTTTGCCTTTGATTTTAACTGAAATAAAACAGCAACATTAGAAACCTCTCCAAGCAGCCATTGTTCTTCGCCCCTTACTTGTTTTCACCAAGGCCTCCGATTGCACAACAAACTGATTGCTGAGAAATATCAAACGACGCAACGTTTTGCCACCGGCCGCCACTTCCTCGATGCGAAAGTCGCCGGATATCTTGGAGAAGCCGCTGATCAGAGTCTCTCGCTTGCCCACATCGCTGCCCAGAGACAGATAGGGAATCTGTTCGTTCAGTCCATATGGTGCCAAGCTGGTGACGGTGTCGCCCAGTTCTGCCTTGACCTCATCGAGGGTATTGTAGATTTGATCGCGATGCAGCGTGACCACCGCGAGGCGTTGAAACTTGGCCGATGCCTGCAACTTCTTGCGTCCCGCGGGGGTGCCAAAGAGCCACTCAATCTCCCTACCCTGCGGCACAATAAATGCCGCATATTTTCCCAGGCCTCTGGCTGCCGGTAGATCCAAAATGTATATGCTATAGCGAGGAGTGTTCTCCGAGGGTCGATACAGATCCAGGGTCACCTCATCGTGACCGGCAATACTGGAGCGAGCCAATCCATTGCATACCAGTGCGGCCTTTTGCACAGAAGACACGGCATTGCTTAGCTCCGAAGACTCCGTAAATCTTTGCATTTTATCGTTGCCCAAACCGAATTCCAAAATCTGTAAAATACAAATAGAGTTTGTAAATGTTGTACAGCTACATTTTGGACCTACTAACGGGCATGGGAAGACTCTTAAATTTGGTGGCTATGACCACAAAAACGGGCAGCTTCATGGCATCATCGGCATTCTTCTCCTTGTTGGCCTGCTCGACGCCCAAACAGTGGACAATGCGCAGCATGCAATTGTGACGGGGCATAAACTCCAGAAGAAAATTGAGGATGTGCTCTTGCAGTAAAGATATGCACAAATAGCGACCGCCATTCCTAAAATGGAATAAATATTGGTTGATTTAAAGCGCTTTTAAGACTGGGCATACGAACCGCATGGTGCGGAGAATCTCCTTGAAATAGTTCTCCACCACAGATCGAGTTTCTGTGGCATCATCCACAAACAGCGCATCCAATGTGCCCTTATCTAAGGCCACTGAGAAGCTCTCATCGGGAAATGTCATGGCTGTGGCATCCATTTGCAGGAACTTCATGTCCGGACGCGTGCGTGCATTCTGTTCCAACATCTTCTTCACAGCCACCGGGGAGATATCAATGTTGGTTATATCCCTGTAAAGGGGATATGAATTTGTGTAAGAATATTCCAGGGAGACGGTCGGTTTTTTCGTACCTGAATCCCGTGTCATACATGTCCATGCTAAGCTTGGAATTGCCGCATCCCAGCATCAGAATTTTATCCACCGGCTTAATGTATTTGTGTATCTGATCGCATAGGTCCAGATATTCGCCATACCTTGGAAGTTTTATATTTTTGGATAAAAAAACACATGTTGCTTTTTGTTGGACGTAAAACTCGCTTTTTACATACCATTCAAAGGCCTTTTCGCCACGCTTCTTGAAGAACTCGTTCCAGTAGTCGGTTTGCGCGAACTCTTCGCGTGTTTTTGGCAGTAAATTCATTGTTAAATAACAATTAAATCAAATAATATAATAAACAATAAAGCGCGGATTTATCGAATAAATATACCCGTCTGACCCCTTAGAAATATACCGAAATATACCTTGTCATTTTTAAATATACCGAGGAAAAAAACCAACTAATAGCCTTTTCACACTGGGCGCGTTTCCTATCGATATCGGAATAGATGCAATGAAGTGGAAAAGGCGATCACATTGGCAGACGTGCATCTTGAGAACAGCAGATTTGGGTGCTTGATGACAAGGAAAGTAACCAGATTTTGAGAAATCAGCAAAATTATGCAAGGCGACATACTGTATATACTGTATGGTTAGTGGTACTTTTATATAAGGTAGTCTCTCATCGCGACATCTGCTCTCTTTTGAGGACGACATGTTTGCTTCTCTTCTGGGAGCCGAGAAATAGGGTGGAAAACATTAATCGTCCTCCACCCAACTGATGAGACCACCTTATAAAGTTGCATCATGCGCTGGGCGACACTAAAAATGGGGTCCCTATCTTTATTTATTTACGTCCCTAGAAAATACCAATTTTCGACTGGCCGAAGTTAAGAAAGCGCTATCATTTTGCTTGTTCTAGATGAGTATCACCTGCCGAAGTTGCTAAGTTTGAAAATATATTTAAATTTTATAAGTGTTCATAAAGTAATTATGTACAGGTCCAGGTTACATTCCGAACGTCCTCGCTAGAAGATTGGTAAGGAGCAGAACCAGGCGAAGCCTAAACCGCATCCATCCGTCCGGCTTGGCCACCAGGAACATTTAAATTATTGTTGCACAATATCCGCTTTCGTCCGTTGGTACCACATTTAACTTAAAATAGTAAATTGTAAATAGAAATTGTCCTTGACCCTTAACAAAAATTGCTAATCAACAGTAACAATAAACCTACAGAATGAAAACTGAAGAAAAAAAAAATTGACCGAATCCACAACGTCTACACTCTACAAAATTGAAGCGGTACGAAATAAATTTAAAATCAGAAAAAAAAACAGGTTTACAGGGTTTACTGATTTATGGAAGGTATTGGCGTTGGCGACGGTGGGGATAGACGGTGATAAATTTAGAAGTGAGAGAATTCGACATCCAAGGAAGAGGAGCCTGCGAGTGAAACGGACGAGGAAGAGGAGCAGGAGCCGGCGAGTGCAACAGACGAGGAAGAGGACCCAAATGGACCATGTTGCTGACAAGAGCTCGTGGAGAACAACATCAGTCCACAGAACTCCGAAGTCAGCGAACTGGAGGGACCGGACGACGAGCAGCTAAAAATATACTTGGCTACTGAGCCTCATGTTCCTGCCGGCTTTACAGCACCACCGGGCTTCGTTCTCATTCAGTCGTTGCTGCTGAAGTGCAAGATTTGCGGGCACAAGCGATTGGGAAAGTTGAAACTAATTTTGGAGCACTTTCAGAAGTTCCTTGCAAAAGTAGACATTCCGCAACAGTTTGTGTGCAAACAATGCGGATATATAGCATCGCATAAGGGATACCTGCAAAAACATTTTAAAAAATATTGCCCAAAAAAGTGCAGGAACAACCAACCGCTCGTTAGAAATATGTAATAACATACAAAAATTAAAATAAAAAAAAAAAATAATACAAGCTGGTGTTACATTTATCACCAGAAACCACCCAACCGAGGCCCCAACATTTCCTCAACTTTCCGTTCGAATCGTCTTTACTGCCGCTGGATCTTTACATGTTTCCGTAGTGTAGCGGTTATCATGCATTGACCATGTTGCTGACAAGAGCTCGTGGAGAACAACATCAGTCCACAGAACTCCGAAGTCAGCGAACTGGAGGGACCGGACGACGAGCAGCTAAAAATATACTTGGCTACTGAGCCTCATGTTCCTGCCGGCTTTACAGCACCACCGGGCTTCGTTCTCATTCAGTCGTTGCTGCTGAAGTGCAAGATTTGCGGGCACAAGCGATTGGGAAAGTTGAAACTAATTTTGGAGCACTTTCAGAAGTGCCTTGCAAAAGTAGACATTCCGCAAGAGTTTGTGTGCAAACAATGCGGGTATATAGCATCGCATAAGGGATACCTTCAAAAACATTTTTTTAAAAAATATTGCCCAAAAAAGTGCAGGAACAACCAACCGCTCGTTAGAAATTTATCACCAGAAACCACCCAACCGAGGCCCCAACATTTCCTCAACTTTCCGTTCGAATCGTCTTTACTGCCGCTGGATCTTTACATGTTTCCGTAGTGTAGCGGTTATCATGCATTGACCATGTTGCTGACAAGAGCTCGTGGAGAACAACATCAGTCCACAGAACTCCGAAGCACCAGGCCGAAATTCAACTGCCTATTTCGGAAGTCAGCGAACTGGAGGGACCGGACGACGAGCAGGTAAAAATATACTTGGCTACTGAGCCTCATGTTCCTGCCGGCTTTACAGCACCACCGGGCTTCGTTCTCATTCAGTCGTTGCTGCTGAAGTGCAAGATTTGCGGGCACAAGCGATTGGGAAAGTCGAAACTAATTTTGGAGCACTTTCAGAAGTGCCTTGCAAAAGTAGACATTCCGCAAGAGTTTGTGTGCAAACAATGCGGGTATATAGCATCGCATAAGGGATACCTTCAAAAACATTTTAAAAAATATTGCCCAAAAAAGTGCAGGAACAACCAACCGCTCGTTAGAAATTTATCACCAGAAACCACCCAACCGAGGCCCCAACATTTCCTCAACTTTCCGTTCGAATCGTCTTTACTGCCGCTGGATCTTTACATGTTTCCGTAGTGTAGCGGTTATCATGCATTGACCATGTTGCTGACAAGAGCTCGTGGAGAACAACATCAGTCCACAGAACTCCGAAGCACCAGGCCGAAATTCAACTGCCTATTTCGGAAGTCAGCGAACTGGAGGGACCGGACGACGAGCAGGTAAAAATATACTTGGCTACTGAGCCTCATGTTCCTGCCGGCTTTACAGCACCACCGGGCTTCGTTCTCATTCAGTCGTTGCTGCTGAAGTGCAAGATTTGCGGGCACAAGCGATTGGGAAAGTTGAAACTAATTTTGGAGCACTTTCAGAAGTGCCTTGCAAAAGTAGACATTCCGCAAGAGTTTGTGTGCAAACAATGCGGGTATATAGCATCGCATAAGGGATACCTTCAAAAACATTTTAAAAAATATTGCCCAAAAAAGTGCAGGAACAACCAACCGCTCGTTAGAAATTTATCACCAGAAACCACCCAACCGAGGCCCCAACATTTCCTCAACTTTCCGTTCGAATCGTCTTTACTGCCGCTGGATCTTTACATGTTTCCGTAGTGTAGCGGTTATCATGCATTGACCATGTTGCTGACAAGAGCTCGTGGAGAACAACATCAGTCCACAGAACTCCGAAGCACCAGGCCGAAATTCAACTGCCTATTTCGGAAGTCAGCGAACTGGAGGGACCGGACGACGAGCAGGTAAAAATATACTTGGCTACTGAGCCTCATGTTCCTGCCGGCTTTACAGCACCACCGGGCTTCGTTCTCATTCAGTCGTTGCTGCTGAAGTGCAAGATTTGCGGGCACAAGCGATTGGGAAAGTTGAAACTAATTTTGGAGCACTTTCAGAAGTGCCTTGCAAAAGAAGACATTCCGCAAGAGTTTGTGTGCAAACAATGCGGGTATATAGCATCGCATAAGGGATACCTTCAAAAACATTTTAAAAAATATTGCCCAAAAAAGTGCAGGAACAACCAACCGCTCGTTAGAAATTTATCACCAGAAACCACCCAACCGAGGCCCCAACATTTCCTCAACTTTCCGTTCGAATCGTCTTTACTGCCGCTGGATCTTTACATGTTTCCGTAGTGTAGCGGTTATCATGCATTGACCATGTTGCTGACAAGAGCTCGTGGAGAACAACATCAGTCCACAGAACTCCGAAGCACCAGGCCGAAATTCAACTGCCTATTTCGGAAGTCAGCGAACTGGAGGGACCGGACGACGAGCAGGTAAAAATATACTTGGCTACTGAGCCTCATGTTCCTGCCGGCTTTACAGCACCACCGGGCTTCGTTCTCATTCAGTCGTTGCTGCTGAAGTGCAAGATTTGCGGGCACAAGCGATTGGGAAAGTTGAAACTAATTTTGGAGCACTTTCAGAAGTGCCTTGCAAAAGTAGACATTCCGCAAGAGTTTGTGTGCAAACAATGCGGGTATATAGCATCGCATAAGGGATACCTTCAAAAACATTTTAAAAAATATTGCCCAAAAAAGTGCAGGAACAACCAACCGCTCGTTAGAAATTTATCACCAGAAACCACCCAACCGAGGCCCCAACATTTCCTCAACTTTCCGTTCGAATCGTCTTTACTGCCGCTGGATCTTTACATGTTTCCGTAGTGTAGCGGTTATCATGCATTGACCATGTTGCTGACAAGAGCTCGTGGAGAACAACATCAGTCCACAGAACTCCGAAGCACCAGGCCGAAATTCAACTGCCTATTTCGGAAGTCAGCGAACTGGAGGGACCGGACGACGAGCAGGTAAAAATATACTTGGCTACTGAGCCTCATGTTCCTGCCGGCTTTACAGCACCACCGGGCTTCGTTCTCATTCAGTCGTTGCTGCTGAAGTGCAAGATTTGCGGGCACAAGCGATTGGGAAAGTTGAAACTAATTTTGGAGCACTTTCAGAAGTGCCTTGCAAAAGTAGACATTCCGCAAGAGTTTGTGTGCAAACAATGCGGGTATATAGCATCGCATAAGGGATACCTTCAAAAACATTTTAAAAAATATTGCCCAAAAAAGTGCAGGAACAACCAACCGCTCGTTAGAAATTTATCACCAGAAACCACCCAACCGGGGCCCCAACATTTCCTCAACTTTCCGTTCGAATCGTCTTTACTGCCGCTGGATCTTTACATGTTTCCGTAGTGTAGCGGTTATCATGCATTGACCATGTTGCTGACAAGAGCTCGTGGAGAACAACATCAGTCCACAGAACTCCGAAGCACCAGGCCGAAATTCAACTGCCTATTTCGGAAGTCAGCGAACTGGAGGGACCGGACGACGAGCAGGTAAAAATATACTTGGCTACTGAG